TTTTTCATTTTCAGACGATCATTTTTTAATGAAAAAAAAAAAACATCCAGTGTTATTCTTTGCCAGACATGCTCGCTTTTCTTCCAAATACATGATTCCAAAGTGGATGAGCGCCTCACCTGTTCATGTTATAATCACAAAGAAATGTGTTTTGTTAACGTTGTCATAACATCCATGTTATTGAGGCCAGAGGCAACATGAGTGTTGATCGATTTCCCGCATGTTGAGGGGGGGGGGGGGGGGGCAGACCCATGTATCGAGATATCAAATCAAATGGGAAAGTATGGACCGCGGAGGGGTGGTGGGGAAGTGAGGGGGGGGGGGGGGCTGCCATCTGGTTCAGAATCAAACACTCCTGGTAGTCAAGTGTAAACCGTCTGTAATATCCGTTCAACACATTAAAAGAATGGATATATCTCATGCTAAAACGTACAGTCCTAATTCTTAACCATTAGATTGTTAATTTCGTCCTGTAGCATTCTGTTAGTGATTTCCTTCAATGGCAAGTCATTTTAGTTTACCAGAGCTTTTATAAACAAAATCTTGTATACACAGATATGATTATTTCAAAGATCCAAGGACCATTATTTGTAATACGTCCATGGCACTACGTCCATGACACTAGCATGTTGAAGAGACGAGTCAGTTTAGATCCGGTACCCGGTGCGGCCGGTTAGAAGGCAAAGACAGATAGTTGCGTAACTACTAGACCAACTCACATATCAATATTTGCCAACCAGTAATTTTACCATCGGCCAATCGGTGTGCTAGTTCTGCTATAATCCCTTAATCAACAGGCCTTTTATTTACTTCTTGTTTTTCAGACATCAGCTTCTTTCATCACTGTGTTGATATTGTCGCTATGGTACCTGTGAGCGGCAGGCTTTTTATTTTTCCTCCTGGTTGATCGGAAAGAAGAGCGCATGGATGAGATCGTTCTGATGATGCTGGCTTGCTCTGGGATCTCTGTACATCGGCATTTCAACATAGAACCAAAGACTTGCTTGAAATAAGGATGCTTGGTAGCATAGATAATTGGATTCACGCAGCTATTAAAAAGCAAGATGGCGGCTGTCCACGGGATAGCAGGATCACTTGGTGGTATCATGAGCGAGACGCAATAAGGCGACGCGCAAAGACCAAACGCGCAGACGACAAACAACATATTTTTTGTAATTTCTACTTGGCGCCTGTTGAGCCGCTTCTTGACTGATTTGTTTGGTTCATGATGCGGTGTGCCGTTCGGTGACGATCGCTTCGTATTGGTGACCGACGTGTCGGAAGAATCGGACATCGTCATCGTTCTCATGTGACGTCGAGTATGGAGGAAGATCTTGATGTAGCAGACGACGACGATCACGAGAGGTACTGGATACAGAACAGCGGCTTGGAGCATGCTGTAGTAGTCGGACAACGGATGGGCCGTCTTGTGCGAGCATGTCTTATATTTGACAGCGTATCCGAGCTCGCCGAGTCCACACAGTGGCGGGATCAACGACACAGAGAAAGGAACTAACCAGCAGATGGTTAAAATAATAGCGTTGTTTCTTTTCGTATAGATGGCGCGATACGTTTTAAGCGGCCTAGTAATGATGATGTATCTATTAATGGCGATGGTTGCTAGGCTGTAGAGACTGCAGCCACCGCAGGTGTATAGAACCAGAGCAGCACCTGCACATACCCAGTCAGGTAACGGCCACCCACTGAAGCTCAACAACGCAACCGTGTTCCATGGCAGTACGCAGCAGGTCAGGAGGTCAGCCATCGCCAGATTGACCACGAACACATTGGTAATCGTTCTCAATTTCCTACTCAGTGCAACAGCCAGCATTGTCAGTCCATTGCCGGTGAAGCCCACGACGAAAGCGATGATGAAGATGACGGCGAGGATGATTCGCTGGACCGGATCGTTGAAAACAAAATTTCGACCGTCACTGCCAGCCGTCGTCGTCGCGGAAGTCGAGGTCCAAGACGAAGTCTGGTTCATCAAGACGTCAGCCATCGTACCAGTCTCCATTTTCTGCCAATTAATGAAAAGAGAGAGTGTCTTGTTACTATTCACATTGATACAATACTATACAATTATTAAAGATTCGGGTTAACAGTATATCGCCTGACAGCAAAATAATTTAATTGTCTCGGACGAACCATAGATTGAATAGAGACAGTGACACATGGCTTAACAAGCTCAACTTTCAACACACCAAGGGGAGAGGAGAGGAGCAGAATCTGTTACTCAAACGCAAACACACAAACGTACCTTTGATCTCTTTCGAAGTCCTTTATACGCACACACCTGTCATCGCAATGAGGACCCAAAACAAACTTTGCTCATTTATACCTTACTCAAGATCACCTGACGAAAATTTCATTCATAAATATACACAGAGTATACCAATATGCCTACTTAGAATATAAGTCTATACGCACCGTCATTTCATTACTCAGAGTAAACATAACAAACCTATTTAGAAAGTGACTAGACTGGCAACCATACAGGAAAAGGGAAAAGCAAGCTCATGGTTATGATTAAAACATATATTGTGACGTCACTGAGTTGACCTGATTATCATGACGCGACAGAAGATATCAGTCATGAATGGAGGAGTGAGTGAGTGGGCAGGAAGGGTTTATTGGAGACTGCTGCACACGAGGCGTTATTGCTGACGTAAGACTGCGCCAATGAATAATGCGTTCTCTGACGCGACATGTGAGATAGACTCGGTTATAACGCCTCGTGTTAATGATGATGATGATAATAATAATATTAACAACCACAATATTAATGATAATAATAATAATAACAATAATAATGATGATGTTAACAATAGGATGTTTATAGTGCCTTTTTCAGAGGATACAAGTCGCTATCCCTCAGTCAATCAACAAATTGAGAAGAATATTCGAGGTAAGTTGTCAGATGTTTTTGAAGAATTAATAGAAATGTGAAGTACTATTTCTTAGAAATACAGGGAGATTATTCCATATGTGTCGGGCAACAGATCGAAAGCATTTGAAGCCAGCCTGTTTTGGGGATTTTGGGAATGAGAAGGGAAGCACTTGATTTAGATCGGAGTGAATTATAATGTTCTCTCCTGCTGAAATAAGTAAGGAGATATTGAGGGAGAGTGGTTAAAATCGCTTTAAAAGTTTGAACAAGTACACAAAATGAATGCAAAACTAACTTGATAAGCAGGGTAGTTGGAGTGCTTGCGCATGCACTGTTTGCCTTCTTTAACATGTTTTAATAGCGTAAGAGATGACGCAATCGAAATGACATCTCGTGTACATAAGAAGGGTATGGAAATGTCAATAGCTGAAGGAATGTTTATTCATTAATTCAGTAGTAGCATATTTGGATGAAAAATGTTGTAAAGAGACTATTAGCGTAGTACAGTGCACAATTGCATGATTTACCGACAATGATACACATAAACAGATCAATATTGACGGGGTCATTTAAAGCATTATTTCAACGCCTTTTCTTTCAAATATAATGAGGGTTGTTACAAAATCTTAAATTAAAAAAAAAAAAATACACGGAAAATAGCTCAAGAATTTGAACAACAAACTTTAAATGAGACTCACGGATTTTACATCGGTCATATTTTGTTGGACTTTCGACAAACCGAAGTGAGCTTGGTTTTTTACTAGCATCTATGATATCTTGTCCATTTATTCATTTTCCAGATGTTAATAAATTCGTTTTCAATAAACTCTGACCCAGTCAGTACGTTTTGTGAGTTTAGTACATACATTGTATAAGTGTAGTGTGTGATTGTTATGTTAGCAAATTTACATAGGAAGTGATAACTTGATAAGGCAAGGTGTACTTTGGTCATTGTTTGTTACTCACTGTTTGCGTGTTTCATCTTATTTCATTATATCAGTATCCGTGTTATTGATTAAATAAGATTCAGACTTTGAGTAATCTCAAACTTCAGATTAAATAAATCACTTGTTTCATTTCTTAAAGATAATACAAACTTGCGAGGAATTGCATTGCATTGTTTATGGTTTCGCCGACCCTATCTTATCGAACTTACACGTACTTGGCTACACAGTTAAAATTTTAGTGAACATACATGTTGTTTAAAAGTTTAAACAACTTTAGATTAACGGGTGACCTGATCTAAGAGTTGTTTAAAATGTTAAGCAACTCGAGTTGTTTAAAGTTTAAACACTTAGTTGATCAACATTTTGAACAACTTGTTTAAAATCACAATTTAAACAACCGGTGATGTTTAAAACGGAGCTGTTGTTCAGTGGGGGTTGTTTACACCAACTGGGTTGTTTAAAAAGGAGCCGTTGTTAAATAATAATAATACTATTGGATTCTTATATAGCGCACGTACCGACCTTGCAAGGTCCTCAAGGCGCTCCAACTTAACCCGGCTATGCTAGGCTGCCAAAGGACATTAGTGCCGCGGCGGGACTCGAACCGTAGACCTTGTGATCGACAGTCCGGCGACGTTTCCACTCATCCACGACACCTCTACAGCTTAGTAGTCCATGATGTGAAACAAAGCTTTTAGCCAACGCGCACTTTACTGGCACGTGACACATGACGTCATATGTAAACAACACTGTCTAAAAGCTCTCGTGTAGTAAATATAGCAGTCATTAAATTTTAAACAGCGAATGTTTAACAAACTTACTTTCGTTACGAGCAACATTGTTTACAATTTGTTCAACTGTTGTTTAAGATAGTGTACAATTGTAAGTGAACATCACTTTTTTAAGCAGCGTTTTTACTGTGTACGATGATGTACATCCGATCTTGTTTTGGTTTTGCTTTGTGTATTTAAAAAAAAAAGATTTTTTTTTAATTTTTCTTCAGTATTATTAAACACAGTAGATTGTACATGTCTAGATTTCATTCAGATGCAGTCTCATACATGAAGATCGAGGAGTCACGGTGGATTAGATATCCACGTTTTAAAGGAATAGCATTTTATCTATTTATTCGAAACAGTTTATCGTTAGGTGATCATGTTCGCAGCCAAATGGTTGCATTTTTAATCAGTGAAAATGAAAATGTGTATACATTAGCGTAGACAAAAGGACATAATTCAAGGCATTAAAGACAATGTTATCATGCTAAAGATGCAAGTACTGTGTAAGCATGAGGGTCGCAGTAGGCAACAGTATCACATACATTTATGATGAATAATGTTCACATTATAGTGGAATCCAGTTAAAAATAGTGGTTTTAAAGCTTCAATCACTACTTTCGAGCGCGGATTTCTATTCCAAACAAAGTGACCCCAAAAGTGTCGTGGTCGAATGGATACGTCACCGGACTGTGGATCACAAGGTCCGCGGTTCGAGTCCCACCGCAAGAATTATTTCCTTAACATGCCACAGAGCGCCATAATGGCAGCCATATATAAAACCGGGGTAATAATTGTGGAGCGCAAGGAGTGTAAAGTCTCACAGACATGAGCGCTATACAAGAACCCACTATTATTATTAAAGGGGAAGTCCACCCTGAAATTAAGTTAGTTTTAATAGGAGGAGAAAAATGAGAGAAACAAGTCAGTGAAAGTTTGAGCAAATTCCGATTAAAAATAAGGAAGTTAGGATTTTTGAAGTTGTGATCAATCAAACACAAATCGGCAACTCTATGACGTATCATGCGAGCTCAACTTCCATTTGCTCAGTACTAAAAAAATCTAAAATTTTCATTTTCCCTCAAGAAAAATTTCAACCATACATGCATCCTAAATATAATAATTGCAAATATGTTTCTATACTCCCCCTGCAAGGAACAAATATATATTCCGTCATCAATAACGAAGAAAACATGATTTTATGGAATATTATGCACAAAGCAAATGAAGGAGAGCTCGTATAATAAGTCACAGAGTTGCCAATTTGTATTGATCACAACTTCAATAATTCATAACTGTCTTATTTTCATTCAGAATTTGCTCAAACTTTCACTCACCTGATTTTCTTATTATTCTGCCTCTATCGAAACAAACTTATTTTGGGGTGGACTTTCCCTTTAAGTATGACTCCACCAAAAGTGGATTTCTACTCCCCTGCACTAAGAGAGTATCTTCGAACATGATCATTACCACTACTTTCTATTCTGTGACCCATTATACCTAAATTAGTTGAGTTCCTAGTAAAAAAAGAAGCGAAAGAAGTAGAATATTGTTTTTCGGTTATGAAACTAATTAACAGGAACTTTTGTGGAGGGACTTTCATATCAAACCGGGAAAATTGCATAAGCATGTACTTGTGAAAGGAAATAGGATTCATAGCAAAATTATTTAATGACTTTTTGCACGAGTGTTTGTGGTTTCACTTTGATTATACTCTATTTTTAAAAAAATTAAAAAAGAATAATCGACCCAAATACCTTTCCCTCAATAAGTGAAAGAGTGAGGGTGTCGGATAACATAGTTCAACGAGTTTGCAAATGGTATAGCTGCTGCATTTGCCCAAATGCAAATACCGTAAGTTGTCTTACAACAAATTATCAAACTATAAATAAGTTTGGTTCATGATGCGGTGTGCTAAGCGGATATTACAGAATTATGGCGGACAATATTAAAGGTGATGAATTTACGAAGCCACATAAATTATCAATCGAACAACTGACATTGAGAGTAGTAGCATCTGTGAAGGCACACATAGTATCTATGACATGAAATTCATCCGTTTGCTTGGTTTTTTTCCTATTTACGAGGTGTGGAGATCTCAGCGCTGACAATGTTAAAAAGATAATAATGTTCACCTGAACAAGATAAGTTGCAAATGCATGAATATAGTCCATATCTACGAAAACGCTCCTTTCGCAAATTTGCCAAAAATGTGCCACCCATACACCCTCCTTAAAACCTTCTCTGTTCCTACGGTAATGCTGTTTATGCTGGTATACCTCGACCTGTCAATGCCGATACCCATGAATTATCTGAATCTCAGTAACTAATTAAATTTAAAAAAAAGTGATCTTACCGACTTTATTATCCTTCGAATCTCGTAAATTCAAATCACGATGTTAACCAA